TGGAAACGAGATACTTACATCAGGCTGACGTCGATATTGCGAGATCCTGGCCGTTTCATTGTCTCTATAGGAGAGTGGTGCCACGTGGCACATCTGTGATACCAGGACTTATCAGACTTGTTATTATCATTTGATTGCTGACGTGGAGGGAGAGGAAGCCCGGAGAAGGAGTGGGATTTGTTGGGTTACTATTGTGTGATCTGTGACTTCTTCTCCCACCTTCTTCCTTGTCTATCCTCCCTCCACTCTCCTCGTCTATTGGTAACAAGATACTGTTGTGAATATTATTTTCACGTTAACTGGAGACTTTATACAGATCTGAGACTATTGGAACTTCGACGTCTGCTGAGTATCTTCCTGACTGGGTTCATTACAGAGAGAGTCTCCTAACTGGATGAGGATGCTGGATATGGATTGGTGAACTCTGCGTTGTTAGGCGCCTGGTGACTGGAACTCCGAAACTGTTTAATATGATAATTTGTTGGAATCCTAAGCTGGGTATATCTGGACTTCGCATCTCTGGCCTCCTGTGTGGATCTCGTGTGATCTCTCAATGTGTGTGTGCTCAAGGTGACGAGCAGTGAGGCTCAATGCAAATCTCTTGTATCATTTTGTAATTTTCACTTGCCAGCGGAAACGAACCGCGCTCATGCTCCCTGGAAAGAGGAGTTACCATAGCCCGCGTGTGGTAACCTGTGCACCCACTTTTTTTTTTTCTTTTTTCTCCCAACTAAGGATACTAAGCTATTAGTCAGCGGGAAGATAGCGGACATTCACGCTCTGCAAATTAGATGGAAGGATTGGCACAACTCAGAGACTCCACAAAGAACAAGAGCTGCTCTACAGGCTGGACAACATCAGGAACATATGAGAGTCCTCAGTGACAATTTAGTAAGATAGGTTCTCTGGTATTCTTGTAATAATCGCGTATCTGACAGGCCTCTATAGGGGAGCTTGAGAGGAATTTGCAGGGAAAGGCAGGCTGACGGTCAATCCTCCAGATCTGCGGAGCAATCAATGCTGTTCAAGGCCCCTTCGGCCGGACGGAAGGGAGCGTGTGTGGGTGTTTTGATGTAACTCTATCCATATGACTTACCGGGGAATAGGAACCGGACCGATGCTCCACAGAGTGGATATGGAGCCAGGCCCATCAGGACCTGTTTTGATTAAAGAAAAAAAGAAAAAAAAAGGATACTAAGCTATATTATTTTCTCTCAATTGCGCCCACTTTTCGGTGAGGCCAAACAAGTGCAAGGGAGATGAGCAATAGCGAATTCCAGAAACCAAACAGCATCATACACGTAAGACCAGATAGTCGTGACCTCGAACCAAAAGAAGAATTGCATCATGAGTTCCACCAAATAAGAGCACAGCAAAAGCTCAGAAGTGACAATGTGCGAATAGTCCCATCATCATCAACAATGAACCAATGTCGATATCCTATCTGGCGCTCCGCGCCCAGACTACAGATGGCAGATCCTATCTAGCCTACTATCTACAATGCCGCTGATGACGTCAACAGCTCCCCGAAGTACGAGCAGATCTCGTCCAATGCCGTTCGCCTCAAGCACCAGGTCTGTCTCTCGTATCACTCACAACCTCAATCCCCGAACTCACAGATGCCACATGCACCCAAGGACCACCATGCGCCCCATCCAGCATACAGCAGCGCAGCTCGGCTATGGCTGCCTGCTCCTTCCAGCTCGCCTGTGAGCGCGTGAGCGCTGGCCAGCGTTAGCGCAGCAAGCAGCCAGTGCCCGAATGCCCTATGCGTGGGCAGGCCCTTTCCTAAATGGAAATGGCCTGCCTGCTTGCGTGCAGCTTGGCTGTGCTGGGCCCCTGCCCAGAAGCTTCCGGTAGGCCCCGGGAGGCTGAGCCCCAGTCCAAACGAATGAGGCCCTGGGCCTGTGGTGGTTGCCCGCATCCAACTGGCCGTGGCCTGTGTTCGGTCCATGTAGCGAATCTGGCCCAGGGCATGCCTCAGTTACATCGGAAAACGGCAGCCTGGGCCTGCGCGCTCTCAACCAACTGGCACTGCGCAACTGCCTGAATTTCCCCAGTTGCGTGGTGACCCCAGAAATGGCCTGTAGGCCTTGGTCGAGCCTGCCTTCACTTAGGGCGGCCGCCTGTGCTGAAAAGAGGGCCCAGTCGGGCGTATCGAGGCCTTGTGGCTTGCGCAAGGGTCCACAATTTTGTGAGTGTGTTTGTCCCAAATACACATAAATATGTGCAAAGTTGCAAACTCCATAAACGAATCACACTTTGTTTTCGCAAGAGTCAGTCAAAGTAGAAAATAGAGATAGGTTTGCAGGTGTCTCTCTCTTTCGTGTATACACAGACACGAGTGCTGAGTTCAGGCAGTTTTGAAATGCCAGCACACACGTTTTTCTCTCCTCTGTCACAGACACAGAGGAAAAGGAGGAGAACTATTGGTTGGGGTGGCAGCCGTTCACTGGACTGATTGCCGGTCAGAGGATGACCGGGCAGGTCTGTCCAGACCCTCCTTGCTGTGTTGCAAAACTGTTCTCCCTGCAACAGTCTAAAGAAAGGAAAAGCAAGAAATGAAAAATAAAAGCGCTGCAACAGACTCTGTGCAGATTGCCCCCCCCACCAGAATAGGAAATTAGGAATTATGTCTGGTGATGGCAGTTCCTCAAATGTATACAAGATGTTGAATCAAAAAAAAAAAAAAAAAAAAAAAAAACAGAAAGGCAGTGATGGAAAGTTGGAAACTGATGTCTACATATGCTTGGCAGGGGCTAGGACCCACTAGCGAAGTAGTACTACGTGTGTGACCCTATTTTTATGGTTTTTACTGTTTAGTACTTTCTACAGAATATAAATATATATAGGGTTCAGCCTCCTGATGAGTCGGTGAAACTCCGACGAAACAGTTTGTCACAGCCCCTCGTTTGTTGTCCTCTTCTCCCTCTCTGCCTACGGTTTACCGGGCAGTTCTATTTGACGATATATATATA